ATAGGCGGCTACCGAACCTCGGTAGTGGTGACAACACATACAGTGCCAGATATAATGATGGAGAGCGTCAGAGATGTGGAAAATAACTCAATCACAAACAATCTTTCGTGTAGCAACGACAGACGATTTTTATGTTACATTCATTTTTTCACCTGGTAAATGACAATTTCACTATCACAACATGAACACTAATATACGAGTTCATATACAGCTAACTGGCAACTCAGGCCTGTGCGGCACACATGCCAGAAAGGCAATGACAGAAATTACTTTCAACTCAGTTGCTGTACATTTAACTATGAAAATCAATGCCATGGGTCAGGTGTACTCAGTCGCGACAGTACAGGTAGTCGTTGCCATAGAATCGTTGCCAGTTATCAATGAATGCCCAACCATTGTTTGAACAATGTTTTTCCAGTCGGCAATTAATAGCAATTGCCCTGGACAGCCATTCACGACCAACCCCTCTTCTAGGCAAGACACCACATACTATGGGGATCCCTCCCCTATCTCTAATCTTCCCCAGCGCCTCCCTATACCTCTTGAAAAGTTCCTCACTCCTAACCTTACCTATGTCGTTTCCTCCCACACTAAGACACACTACTGGATTGGTACCCTCCCCTGACAAAACCCTGTCTAACCTCTCGGCTACATGCCCTATCCCAGCCCCAGGAAAACACACCCTAGTCCTACGTTTCCTATCTCTCGCACAAAAAGCCCTATCTATAAACCTCACCTAGCTGTCCCCAACTACCACGACCTTACCTGTGGGCAGGGTTTGTACAACTGCCCTTTCCTCTCCTTGATCCATACCGTCCTGCCTCTTCTCTTCCTCGCCAGCTTCCTGCAGCACCTGGTAAGGGTTACTACACTCCACACCCTGGTCAGCTTTCCTGAGCCTGACCCTAGTCCCCTTGGAGACAACCACTCTCCACGCCTGCTCCTCCTTCGCAGGTGTCCTGCTAGGCAGGACACCTACCTGAAGGAGTTCCGTCCTGAGGGCTTCATTTTCCCCCTTTAGAGTGTCAACCTCACTCCTCAACTGCCCCAGCTGCCTTAACAGAGTGGCAAGGAGGTCGTCTTTCCCCACACTCCCCTCCTCTTCCCCCACGACACAACGATCCAAAGCGGCCATTTTCCTTGGTCTCTAACGGGAGCACGATCGGGCACGACCTTCTCCAAGCTGGGTCAGAGGTCAACTGAGCTGGGTGTTGATAGGTAGGGTATCCACAGATTCACCGTGGAGTTTGCTTAGTGGCCGTATGCAGTACACACCACACTCGGTGGGTTCCTCACAGTAGAGCAGTGGTGGTTGCTAGGCCTATGCTCTGGGTGGACACCTGCTTGGGTGAAAAGCGACGCCCTACTGAGGTCGTGGCGCGTCGTCTCGCCCTCACTAGGCCTATGACTGCCAATTCCTAATTTTCACTTTGACATTATTCTGGTTCTCACATATTCTCTTTCTTATATATTGTGACTTTATAACTTATAATTACATATCTTAATTCTAAAGTAAGTGTCTGCTTTGCCAGTTCCTGGGGAAATTAATTGGGCTATATTGTGGGGTTCAGGATGGGATGGAGAAAGGAAACTCACAATGTGCTCTCTATATACATGTTGTATTGGATGTACAATGCAGCTTGGTGCTGGGAAGGCAGCATGGTTACAAGCGTGATGTAGAGAGAGCTGGTTGGTGAGGACGCTCAGAGAAGGACAGCTTGTGGGTCGGCTTGCTCGCCGGCGGGAGAGAGGACCGCCAGGCAGGCGGAGGAGGAGCGAGGGCCGCCAGGCAGCGGCGGAGGAGGAGGTGTTGCTGGCTGCGGCTGTAGGTAGAAAGAGGCAGGTCACCACGAGGTCAGGTCTTAAATAGCGGAGGGTAGGCGTGGCTTAGTAGTTGACCCCCGCTCCGTGATGTATGGCGGCGCTGGTTGACCTAGACCACGAGGCATACACTGGGGAATTGGTGGGGTCGGCCACTGAGCGACAAACAGCGTTTGTAGAGGAGAAATCCACTACAACATCATTAACTAAAAACCCTGAAGATCCTGTTTTGTAAATGCCTGGATGAACAAATGGTCCCCAGTGAATGGAAAGTGGCTTATGTGAGTCCTATCTTCAAGAAGGGCGATCGTCACTCCACGAACAACTATAGACCGGTGACCCTGACCAGCATAATATGTAAAGTACTTGAGAGTATTATCAGAGATGCCGCAATGGAACATCTAATACGAAACAACCTTGTAAAAGATTGCCAACACGGTTTTATGCCGGGGCGCTCCTGCTTAACACAATTGCTCAAGGTATTGGATATTTGGACCCATATTCCGGAACGGGGTGGTAATATCGACAATATTTACATAGATTTTGCCAAGGCTTTCGACAGTGAACCCCACGAAAGGCTGAAAATCAAACTGGAAGGGTACGGAATTCGGGGAAATGTCCTAGCGTGGATAGAAGACTTTCTACGTGACCACAAGCAGTGTGTGGTGATTAATGGCACGAAATCGTCATCTGTACCTGTCACAAGTGGGGTACCACAGGGCAGTGTATTGGGCCCGCTGTTGTTTCTTTGTTTCATAAATGACATGCCTGACGTTGTACACTCCTCCATACAAATGTTTGCCGATGACGCCAAGTTATTTAGGGAAATCAAGAACCAAGCGGACTGTGAAGAGCTGCAGAAGGACCTCTGTGGGCTCTAAGAATGGTCGAAGAAATGGCTGCTGAGATTCAATGTCACAAAGTGTAAGAGGATGCACCTGGGGCGTACCAACGGTAAGGAGGCGTATTATATGTCCCAACGGGATGAAGAAACTGCACTATTTGAGACTGAATATGAGAAGGACCTAGGTGTGTATGTTGACAATGAACTGAAGTTCTCGGGCCATTGCGAAAATAAGGTAAATCAGGCAAATAAATTACTGGGTCTTATAAGAAGGTTGTTCAGATATCTAGACGGTCAGTCCCTCGTAACGATCTTCAGGAGCGAAATGCTTCCCCATCTGGAGTACTGTCACCCCGTCTGGTCCCCGAGATATGCTAGGGACTGTCAGTTCGTTGAAAATTTTTAAAGTAGGGCCACCCGACTGGTGCCTGCACCTCGGCACCTCGACTACCCTGAGAGATTGGAGCGCCTGAACTTCCCTAGCTTATACAGGTACTACAGACGGGCAAGGGGCGACATAATTGAGGTGCATAAGCATCTCAAGGGGCACTACTCAGTCGAGTGTCCTTACTTGTAGCTGTCGGGGTCACAACTCAAGATTGAAGAAGCCGCAGGTCCAGAAAACTGAGGGCAAACTTTTTCGGAGTGAGAGTTGTGAACCCTTGGAACAATCTACCAGAAAGTGTTGTGTCGGCACCGAGTGTGAGCTCTTTCAAGACCAGACTCGACCAACACTGGAGCAGATTCAGGTACATTCAGGAGCCGGTGCATGCCCAGTATTTGCCAACAGTGCATGACAGAGACGTGACTGATCGCCCAAGCGGCTAAGGAACCGATCAGTGGTGAAAAGGATAAAGTAAGTAAAAGTAAAACTAAGCAAAGAAATATTCTTTCTACGCAGACTTTAACATCTACATTCATTTCATCTGAAATGGTTCACAATTGTGGAGGAAGTGTTTCATACGAGCCAGGTGAAAATTTGATTCGGTTTGTAAAATTCCTAATGATTAATTGTAAATACCATGTATATGTATTGTTTATTACCTTTGTTTATCATTACAAAATGGGGAAATGTATGCACATTTTGTTACATTTTTTTCTAAACCTTATTGCGACTTCTTTTTTATTCCATACCAAAATAAAACGTATTTCAATATCAATAAATATCCTCTTTTAATATTTTCTATTTATTTCCTGTTTAATTCAGTTACTTAAAAATTGTACCCGTTTTCTCTTATGTGAAGTATCGCACCTGGCCCATGTGGACTAAGCGGCAGACCAACACTGACCAGTCTCACAAGAGTCACAATGGCCGTGGTGGAGGGTGGCTGATATTTGTGCTCCTACGATTATTTTAAGTTTATTGCCGAGTTTTACGAGAAAGACGATCATTCTATCCAATTCTTACGTATCCCTGGTCCTTCCACTTATAACTAAGGTATTGTACTTTAGGACATGGTGCGCCCCAAAGTTTTTAACTACTGAGACATTTAGGTTAGTTTAAGCTAGGCCTACCGGGGGTCCGGCGAGAGGTAAGGTAAGGTTGGGTTAGGTTAGGTTAGACAATTCGTTGGTATTATTGCGTTTACACACCGTTCATTCCTACCACTAATCTATTATCATATTCGAATAAGACGTCTAATTATAATATAATTTTCATCTATTACATTACCGGCGGAAATGTATAATAACGGTGATAGCTTTTCCCCCAAAAATTCTATTTTCTTCCATTAACCTCCTGCCATTATCGTCTGCCTCTCCCCCAACACTGGGTGTCTCTCGGTCTCCTTCATAAATCATGACGTGCATGCGTACCCGTACACGTCACGCGGCCAATCTAAAGGGTTTTTGCTAATTCGGAGTATATTTGGCCCAATCAAAATCGAGTTTTATTTTGGGTCTCATATTTTGAAATCCAAGTTCAGTTCCGACCAAGGAAGTCTGCGATGAATGTCACTTAAAGTATATGGAGCTGATTGAGAGTTTTTGGAGAAAAAAAAACGTAGAAACTATAGCATTTTTTCGATGGCATGGTGTTCTTCCAACCTCAGTAAAGTGTACTAAGAGCAAGACAATGTAAATATCGCAAAGACCAACATATGTGGCGTTGGGTAAGAATCCCAGAATCCAACGATGAACAAGAACCAGGCCAATAAGCTGAGAAATAGGTGATTCCATCATATGGTGAGTCAGTTAAGTTAAGTTAGGTTAGGTTTGGTTTTTGTTTTTCTAGTGGTTTTTTTTTTATTTTTTAGTCGCTTGGCCACTTTTTTTCTCGGAAAACGTCAAACAAAAAAAAATCGCAAAAACAAACGGCTAATTTCCGCCATAAATGAAGGTCATATTCGGTCTAAACACACAAAAATACACTAGAAAAATATATTTTTTATTTGCTAAAAGTGAACGGTGTGACAATGCAAATTTACCGATTCGTTTTTGGTTTCCCTCACCCAAAAACCCCAATTTGCCAGGCCATCCCCTCCCCCATTATTGTTAGGGGGGGAGTAAAAACTAGTGATTTCCGGCGGAAATGAATATCAAATTCGTTCAAAACTCATAAAATATCATTGGAAAAACATATTTCTAATGTCCAAACAAAGACCGGTGCATGAGTAAAAATTTACCCTTAGTTCCTACAAACGCTCTGATTGGCTGAACGCCCATTACTGAAGAACAATGCAACAGCGATAATTGACATTTCGCCATGAGTCGATCATTGTGTAGCTGTAAATATACCTAACCAGAAAGAGTTGTTTGATTTTGGGGTAATTTTTTCCCTACATGTTTTTATCGTTATAAAAGAGATGATATTTACTCAAACCTAATACTGTAGAACCTGACCTGACCAACCAAAGAAATCTGAGATACCTAACCTTATCTAACTTCCTAGCCGGGGGAGCGGCACAAATTGGCGATTACAGCAACCGAAGAATCTGATAAAAAAAATGTTACCTAACCTAGCCTAAAAAAACGATCATAGAAAAAATAGGTGAATTTATAGTCTTACACCGGGCTTTCTCTCGCTGTTATTAATATGTATTTCATAATGTTTAGATAATTCTGAGACATTTTTCTTCTATGATATTTCCGCCGGAAATTAAAGATAACCGAGATATTAATTTGTCAATATTATTAGATTTGCTCAGTCACAAGTGTCGCCATTTGTTATTTGCGTCTCAGTTAAGATCTGACCCCCCCCCCCTCCTCCCTCAGCCAGTGCTCCTTACCTCCGTGTTCGCTTCTTAAGTGTCTACAGCGCATGTGCGGGGAGTGGTGTGGGAGTTTCTTATTAGCTGTAGCGATAGGAGACTTATTATTGGGCAAGAGTTTTTGTCTTAGCAAATGAACAATGTGTGGGTGCGTCGGGAGCGGAGATTTAAATTTTCAGTACCAGATATGGCTGAACAGGTGGAAGAGCTGTGCTTACATTCTGATAAAGATTATGTTACATCAAATGCCGAGTTTTATCAGAAAAATGGTGAGGCAATTTTTTTTTTTTTTTTCTATAAAACACAGTGTATTACCGAATAACGTTTTTTGGGAGCCACGAATTACCCAAAAGTACCCAAAAGTATTGCAAATAAGGGTAAAATCTTTACGAATATCTGTTATACACACAAAACATGTTTAGTAATATTTTTAGTGTAGTTTTGTAAAAATAATTGGTAAGATGAAATAATAAACAACAAAATGCTTTCAGTATTGGCGAATGCTAAATTCCAAAGAGTTCGTGAACAAGGGAGATAACTCGGATCCATCATGATGCACTTCGCTAACCTAACCTAACCTAACCTAACATAACGAAAAGTAAATCCTGCGGCTATGTTAAATACCCCAAAGTAACAGAAACATTGGTAATTATATCTCCATTTTGGATAGGTGACTCTTTGGAATTTAGCGTTTTTTGCTGTTTATTATTTCATTATTTTGACTACATTTCAATGAAAACATTATTAATCAGGTTTTATTGATGTAAAACATATATTCGTTAAGATTTTACCCTGATTTAATATACTTTTGGGTACTTTCGGGTACTTTTGGGTACATTTGGGTACTTTTGGGTAATTCGTTGGACCGACGTTCTTTATCTAAGATGTGGGGGCATGAACTACCTACAGAATATATGTACTGTATCCATATGCGATATATGAAATATAAATTAATTTTGTGCATAGATTTGGGCCCCATTGCTGTTGGGTGAGCTACCCCATTATACAGGTTCTGTATACAGGGTATAGGTATTCCAAAATAAAAAAATATCCCAAATCCGATACGCTTAAGGACCCAAACATTTCAGATAAAGGATACCCAACCTGTATTTTATTTTGGTTCCTATTAGTTGAATCTGCTGGTTGCTCAGATACCAGATTACTGGGAATCTACTGTACAGGTACAGTATTACATAAATTTTTGCCCTCCAACTTTCTGGCACAAACCCCATTTAACTATTTAAGCCATTGTTATTATATTTATAATATTTTCACTTTTACAAAGTAGCTTGTTAAGATTTATTGATTATATTTGTAATGAGAATATTATCTAAGGCAATATATTTTGTTTCAGAGTCTGTAACATCACATATGAAGACCAAGTACACTATAGCATTAAGTAGAAGTTCACAATGTCGGGTAAAGAAAAGAAGTTCTTCTGTATGGAATGTGACAAAGAGTTTAGCTGGAAGACTTCTCTGAGTAAACATTTACTTACTCACAGTAATATCAAAAACTTTGAATGTGATGAATGTGGGAAAAAGTTTTCACACAAGAGTCATCTTAAGTCACATTTAAATGTGCACAATCACATTAAGAAGTTTAAATGTGAGGAATGTCATAAATATTTTTCTCATAAGTGTTCTCTGAAGGCACACATTCATGCACACAATGGCATTAAAAAATTTGAGTGTAAAGAATGTGGCAAACAGTTTTCACACAAAGGTAATCTCAATAAACATTTAATTGTGCACAATCTCATTAAGAAGTTTAAATGTGATGAATGTGGCAAACAGTTTTCACTAAAGGGTAATCTCAAGGCACATATACTTGCACACAATGGCATTAAAGAATTTGAATGTAATGAGTGTGGGAAACAGTTTTCACGGAAGGGTACTCTTAAGCTACATTTACTTGTGCACAATGGCATTAAAGAATTTAAATGTAATGAGTGTGGGAAACAGTTTTCACGGAAGGGTCATCTCAAGGCACACATGCTTACACACAAAAGCATTTGAGATTTTGAATGTAATGAATGTGGAAAAAAGTTTTCACAAAATGGTAATCTCAAGACACATTTGCTTGTCCATAGTGGTATTAAAAGTTTTAAATGTGATCAATGTGGGAAATTCTTTACCAGGAGAGATAATTTCAGATGTCACATACTTACACATGAGAAAAAGTAGAATTTCATGAATGTTTGAATAAATTTGACATCAGTATAGAACCATGTCAATAAATTATGAATACTGCAGAATAAATAGAAGTGATAAATTCCACTTTTATACACAATAAATACATTAGAATTATCTGCTTTCAAGAAAATTTCTTCAGTCTTGGCTCAAGTACTTTACCATGACATGAACAGTATGCTAGAAAAATAAACTTGTGACAGTTGTGGGATCATACCTTGCTAACATGTAATGGTCACAAGTTCTATTTGTCTGGTCCAGTCAGGTCTTCTTGTTATTTGGAAACTGACTCGTACGGTAGCTAAACACTTGCTCAGCACCAGAAGTTTAGCCTCTCCAGTGAGCCTATGTGTTCATATATAAGAGCCTTGATGGTTTAGGGGAGCAGCAGTAGGTTTACAGCTGTCAGTGGGACTTGTACTACTCTGGCCAACTTTTGCTTGGACCTCCTGCAGGCTCACAGTTAGTTAGACTTAAGTTCTCTGGCTGAGGCGAGACATTAGATTTATTTCCTTTAGTTATATTGTATTAATATATATTGTATTAATGTTTCTCAACCTCTAGGGTTGTGATGACTTATATTATTGTGACATCATAGTTGTTTTTAATTTGTTTGTCATATAGTAATACTGTATATTTATGTGAAATGTAAGTAACTTATGTGTTTCCCATCTCTTACATGTACGTACTGTATACATGTACAGTATAATATACTGATTGTGTATTGTAATAATTACCATTGTACAAGAAAACTTCCCAGGTAACAATATGGTGAACCTCCATGCATTTGTCCAGTTGGCCACAGACCCAATTCTACCATTATTTCATGACATTCTAACAATGATTATCCCATAAAACTAAATATTATTCGTAAGATAATGATGAAATTAATGTTAAATTCAAATAGAAGTCCTTATAGTTTTGTGGCAGCTTGTGTACAGGTATTTGGACTGAAGATGAAGCTCCTACACTGTACTTGCAGACATACAAAATTATGATCCTAAAGCTGAAAGGAGTTTTGTTAACCCATATATGGAAATCATGTGTTTTATTTCTCTCTGAACAAAATAATTATACAGGGTTCAGTATTTTCAATGAAAAATATGAAAATTCATTTGAAACTTTATGTAAAGATGCTAAAGTATATTAAGAGAACTAAGTCAGCAACATGCTGAAGTTTGGTGTTAGTGAGTGTAAGAATGCCAATGTCAAAATGTTCTCACTGTTTGAACTACATACTGTACTATAATAGTTTATCAAACAAAACATTACTGTAAACCAATGAACTTAAATTATTTTATTAAAATTGAGTTTAATGTTAAAAATATCCTTACAATAATATAATTGTTTGAATTTTGTGTTTACTGTACTTGTTTCAAATATCTTTTACACCAAGCCAACAATAGTTTACACAGTGAACCTGTACTGATACTACTATGTTGTGGTTTAAAATATTGTACTGTACCATACAATAAACTTTACACTTGTAAATAAAACCTTGACACTGAGACTTATTTCTGTCTGATATTATTAAGAGGAAATGTTTCTTTTTGCTGTACAAGATGAGTTGATGAGAAAGTGAAGCTCAGTCCAGTGTGTCAGGCTACCCACAGAAGACAGCTATCAATGTAGAAAATTTTTAATTAATGCTTATATATTCTTAGAGTCTAATTACTGTGCTCTTGTCCATAATTCTCTAAACTTCGTAGTACAGTATAATGAACAAGCATCCAGAGTCTGAATGTCTAAATACAGCTCAGGAACTATTGTCAATAGCTAACTCTATTCATCTTCAGTCATTCAGTAGTGACCACTAATGATATATTTTTTGTACAAAAACCTTACTGATTTATTGACATGTATTGTACAATAACAACTGCAATGAACTGTACCGTATTAACATTTTACAGTCGCAGTCAAAAGTAATCATTCACTCCACCACCTAACCCCTGCACCTGGCTGGGTCCTTTCTGCATGGAAAGTCACGTGGGGTAGAGAGGGGGAATGGTCAACTGGTGGAAGGATGGTATGTGATGCAGGTTGTTCATCAGAGTGTGGGAGGGGATTGAAGAAAGCAGGGAAATTCATGAAAGAAGGAAGGATGTAAGATTTTTCACTGTATTATCTTAGGTTTAAATACTTGAAAGAGTAATAGACGAGGACCTTTATTTTATGATTATTATAACGTGCCATCCATTTCCTTACTTACCATCTTTTTAGGTTGTTCAGGTTTTAAACTCATTTATCATCTTTTTAGGTTGTTGCTCAGATTTTAAACAGTGTTAATAAGATATTTATAATGATGTTGATATGAGGGTGGAAGTCTCAAATATTTTTTTTTATTTACCAACACAAGTCATACAGAATCTCAGTAGCCCGTCCAATGTCCTCCTCGTCTGTCTGTCAAGGTCTGCCCGGCTTAAAATGGTTTAATTTTTATGAATTAAGTGTCCAAATATGTTTTGCTTACATTTCACACCCGAAAGTAGTCATTTTAATATTGGCATCCCTGGTTACGGAATTTGAAATTATGGCCAAAATTTTGGGCTACTTAAAAATAAAAGTAAAAAATCGCCATTACAAAATTTGGGTAAATTTCTAAATTTACAAAAATCATTATACTTTTAGTCCAAATTTTTACCAAAATGTAAAAATTATTTAGTGCGGATTCTCTGTGGGTAGCCACAAGGCGGTTGGAAGGCCACTCACCTCCCAAGTTGTCAGCAACCACCACAACAGTGGCACTACTCAGAATTCTTTCCCCAGCTTGTGTTCAGTTATGCATCTGTGTTCAAGACTGTTGTTACGAGTGAGCGTTCCATCGTTGGTTGTGGATTCGCAACGTGAACGTCTTTTGTTTGTGACGTCATTTCTGCCACGTCCGCTCGCTTCGTTTACTTTAGTATGGGCCCGGCAGTGTTAAGTTAGGTACAGAGTATCTCCTTTCTTATAGTACAGTATATTTCTAGTGGTATAACGTGTAAACCTTGCTCGACTTTATAACACCAAGTAAAGTATTATTTGTGAAAGATTATAGTTAATCATATTTTGGAGTTCCACGGAAAATAACTTATTTATTTATGAGGTTTCGTGTGGTGGATAGACCACGTTGTTCATCGTAGTTTCTAGACTAAATAAGTCTTTACTTTTGTGTTCATTATTTTGTCACTCAGTTGAGTCATTTATTTGATCAGATTTAACTTGTATTTGTTTATTTTAGTACATACGGATATATTTATTTTATTGTTTATATGTTAATACATTCTGTTATTACAACTACTGTATGCATTTCAATATACCCCATAGTAATGAGGTGATAATTTGGTGCGATCTATTCCTGGACCTATAGTACAAAGTGTAAATTGTGAATTTGTGATATTGTTACACCCTTAAGAGGCCCAAGGGTCGTAACACTGTATTCCCTGTTACGGAATTATGGTTAATTAGTTAAGATTTTACAAAGAAAAAATTTGCGATCTAGTACAAAATATAATTATCTAAAAATATAAAATTTATTTCTGGTGGAAGCTACAAGACTGCTGCCGGTCAGCTCACCTCACCAGCTGATAACAGCCACAACAACAATAGTGCTGCTCAATTTGAATTCTCTTTAGTTTGTGTTTAGTGCTGCATCTGTTACAGTGTACCCTTATTCAATATGAGTGGAAAAACACCCTCAATTTCAAGTGAAGATAGTGGTAATAAAAGATTCCATAAATAAATTTCATTGAACAATAAATATGATGTTTTAAGGAGGTAACTCCTAGTGACTACAATTGCACCATGTCACTTCACCGAGTGTAGGAAAAACCCTTTGGACAAAACCCCCTCGAAGTAAAGTGCAAAATAGGACAAAACTCCCTTATTTAGAGTAAAAAAAATAGGACAAAGCCCCCATTTTTAGACTTAAGAGTCCATTTTATTAACTCTTTAAAGAGGGTGTCTTTAAAAAAATATATATATTAATAAAGAATTAAAAATTAAATAATTTTAAACAATGAAGCCATCCTAAAAATATAGTTGATCACTGTTTTGTCTTCTTGAGTAATCCTTCAACGGGTGACCACTGCGTCAGGTCACCATTTAGTGGTCATGTGATCTATCCTGGTATCTCGGCAGCCTGTCGAGGATTAAATCAGAATTAACCTCAGGTCATTGCTGGGTAGGTGAAGTCAAGTGTGTATATAAAGCTGCCACATCTAATCTGAAGCATCATTTTGGGTCGCTATTACATGATCTGAACTGTCTGGCGGGAATATACTGTTTTTGTGAACTTTGTAGTGTTTTTAAAAATTGGTTATACTCTCCAAGTGACCCAAAAAATGAGTCTCTTCAACCACCATGGAGATCATCAAGAACAATAAAGGAGGTTTCAAACTGTGTGCAGAAGGCTACTTATACATCAAGAAGAGTTGAAACACTACACGTATACAATGGGAATGTTCTCAGAGGAATGCACTTTCTTGCAAAGGTTCTGCTCTTACAGATTTGGAGGTGAAGCAACTACTTCCTGTGACTCGACACAGCCACGACCCTGACCCTAACAAGATGAAGGCAGCTAAAGCGAAGTACACCAAAAAGACAGCTGCTTTGACCAACAGAGGCAGACCTGCACATATCGTTACAGATGCTATATGTCAACAACCACTTGAAGTTCATTGTGCAATTGGTTGACTTGACTGTGAAGCATGTCTGATGTCTACAGAAAGGAGCATTGCTAAAGGACCCAACATCCTTTTTAGAATTATAGCATATCAGTGGTGAATGGAAAACTACCAGAGCTCCAGGATTTCCTCGTTTATGACAATGGACCTGAGTCGAGAGAGAGAGATCGTGTTTGCAACCAACTAGGCACTTGAACATTTATCATGAAGTACCACATGGTTTATGGATGGGACTTTTGCAACAGCTCCAAGACTGTTCCAGCAATTATACATCATCTGAACTCCTCTTGGGCTATCTGCTGTAACGTGTGTATGCCTTTTAGTCTGCAAATTCTCAATCCTTCTATGAAGGACTCCTCCTGTCAATTTTGGATAAATGTGATCATCTGGGATTTAATCCAGATCCCACCACTGTGATAACCGATTTTGAACATGCAATGATCAATGCTATTTCTACAATCCTGGGACCACATGTGTCATCCTGTGAATGTTTCTACCCTCTGACCCAAAGTACATGGAGAAAGGTGCAAAGTTTAGGACTGACTGCAGCATTCAGAAGTAATGATCGAGTAAAACATTTTTGTGGAATGTTGGATGGACTGGCTTTTCTACCTGTAGACGAGATGGGCTATGGGATGGATTATCTAATGGAGAATATACCTGACTTTGAAGGAGTAGAAAGCCTTGTGGACTATTTCAGTAGCACCAAGTGTTCGGCACTTGTCGTCGCATCCAGCCACCAGCTCTTCCTGATGGAGTACTTCCTCCACTCCCTCAACAAGAACTGTCATGGATCGAATCTCAAGGAAGTTAGAAAGTAGAGAACAAAGTGGGGTAGAGAAGCCGTAGAGGGAAGTTTAGAAAGCAAAGACTTGTGCCATACCCTGTCAAATGCTTTGGAGAAGTCGAGGGCCACAATGAAAGTTTCCCCATAATCCTTAAGAGAGGATGACCATAGATGGGTGCAGTAGGAGAGCATATCACCAGTAGATCTCGCCTGGTGAAAGCCATACTGGTGATCCGACAAAAGAGAAAGGTGTTCAAGGTGACGGAGAAAATGAGAGTTAAAGATAGTTTTGAAAATCTTAGAGAGGGATGAAGTTAGGGCAATGGGGAGATAGTTAGAGGGATTAGAATGGTCACCCTTCTTCAGGATGGGCTGAACTAAGGCAAGCTTCCAAGAAGAAGGAAAAGTTTTGGTTTTGAGGCAAAAGCAAAAGAGGTGAGCAAGCACAGGGGCCAGAATTTCAGACCATGAGGGGGTATTCCATCTAACACATGCTCCTTGCTCACATCCAAGCTGGATAACATATCAGCAACCCTATGAGTGGAGATTATAGGAAAGTGCATAGGTTTAGTAGGAGGGATAGAGTTGGAATTGTCTAAGATGGAGTTAGAGGAGAACAAGGTGCCAAAGAGATTGACTTTATCAGGGGGAGAGTTGGCTGTAGAGTTATCAGGTTGGAAGAGAGGAGGAAAAGAGGGATTGTAGATGTTATTACAGATGTTTTTGGTTAATGATTAGAAGGATTTATTTAAAGAAGAGTTAATCAGATCAACGGTTTTTCTTTTTATAAAATTTTGCCTGGCCCTACGAAGAATAACCTTACAAAGATTTCTAGAAGTAATGAAAGAGGAGTGGGTAAGAGGAAAAGGAGAAAGTTTTATAACTTGATATACCCTATCTCTCTCTCCCTGCATGCAAGAGAACAGGAGTGATAAAACCTTGATTGTAAAGTGAAAGTTTTGGTAAAAGATGGGATAAATGCACTCATACCACCCTGTATAACCCCAGAAATGCTGTCAGCACATACCAAGGCGTCCCGAGTGGAAAAGCG